AAATAACTAATTAGAACTTCCCTGGTGGCCCAGTGCATAAGAATCTGCCTGTCAATGTGGGGGACATGGGTTCAAACCCTGGTCTGGGAAGATTTCACAAACAGTGGAGCAATTAAGCCCACGCACCACAACTACTGAAGCCTGCATGCCCTAGAGCCAGCAAGTTGCAACTACTGAAGCCTGTGTGCCTAGAGCCTATGCTCAGCAATGAAAAGCTATCACAAAGAGAAGCCTATGCACCACAACTAGAGAGTAGCTCCTGCTCTCTGCAACTAGAAAAATCCCAAGTGCAACAATGAATAAATACAGCAGTGTGTACATGTAAAATAAAAAAATAAAACATTGCTGAAAAAAATTAGGGAAGGTTTAAATAAATAGAGAAATATATTTAAAAACAAAGAAATCCAAAAACCAAACAAAAATAAGCAATTATATAGAACTAAATCATAATATGAAAACGTTAAGAATAAAGGGATAAAAAATCATTCCATGCAAATAGTTACATAAAGATACTATGCCAACATCAGATAAAATAAAGGTACAAAAATTACTATAAAATGTCCATCATAAAGACAGAATTCAGTTCAATAAGAACATATAACAAATTAAAATCTGCATATTTATTATACATACTTGTATGTAATATATCACCTATTATATGACATAGATCATGCACCTGTATTTTTATATAATAAAGCTTTAGGAACGTAAAACTGAAATTGACAGAACAAAGAGTAATGGAAAAATAAACACAGTAGTTGAATTTAACATACCTTTCTCACAAATGATAAAATAAACATAGAACTTCAATGAAATTAAGAAGGTAAAAACATCATAGTCAATCAACTTCACCTAATGGAGAACATATATATACAAACACATATATGTTATGTATATGTGTGCATATAAGTATATATGATACACATATAGCATATATTCCTGTGATATATACACAAACATATGTTATGTATATGTGCGCATATAAGTATATATTATACACATATAGCATATATTCCTGTGATCAACTGAATAAATATTAAAGAACTAGAGAAAGTTAATTAAAAATCATTATATGATATTCTTACTACAAGGCCTCACTTTTCTGGTAGTTCCAAGTGTCTTAATTCAAGATGAGTTTTATAAGATTTAAACTTTTTCTTTAGGTGTAAGATTTCATCTGACAACTCATCCATTTTCTCAGCTACAAGTATAGAGGCTCTTAATCCAATAAAAAGTAAAACAGCTGGACTGTGAAATCTTTGGATTATTAATGTATACCAAGAACTTAAAGTTTCCATCCAACTTTACAACAAGTAAATACACACAGTTTAAACAAATGATCAAACCATCCTCCCTTTGCCCACCCCACCCCCTAATCTGATAGCGCATTTTCACAATGGACTATGAAATTAAGTATAAAATCATCAGACTGGTTTCCTCAAAGTATGTGGAAGACTTGTTACTGCATACAAACACTTAAAAAGTTGTAATTAGAGTTTATTGTACTAAGGCTATTCATATTTAAAAATACTTCAAAACTTTTAACAACATATATAATGGGTTTAAAAGTTACACTGATTAAAAAGTAATAATTCCAAAATAAGGAAAGAAATAGAAAGAAACCTGGATCAGGTACAAAAATTAGAAAGCACCTAAAAAAGGAAATACTTAAATATATTAGTAAGTACAATAATTATAAGTGGATTACATGTTGTTGGGCAAGAAAAAGACAGTCACACTGGATTTATAAGCAATTTAACTATAGTCTATAAGGGTGTCACTGGTTTATAAGAATATAGAAACTGGAAAATAAAGAGGTAAAAAAAGATATGCAAATATGAACCAAAAGAAATCTGCAGTAGTTATATCAACGCCATACAAACTAGGATTTTAATCAAAAGACTTTACTGGAGACAGACTAAGATGCTACTGTTTATAAAAAGAAAATGTTGAGTACATAAGGACTATCAAACATTTTTATTTGTATGCTCCTAACAACACAGACAGTATAAGGAAAAAGGACAATGCTAGAAAAATAGGTAAATCCACAATCATATTGATAGAATTCAGTACAGACATTGAGCCATAATGGATAGAAGAAACAAAATTTGAAGAAATCAAGAAATAGGAATTGAAATAACACAGCAAAAACTTGACTTTGATGCCTGTAAGCTCACACATTCATGGACATAATTCTGCTTAAAACAATTAAAATGCAAAATAATTTAATAACATTCATAATAATATTTACTACCGAGTCTTTTCCTTCTAGAAGTTCCAAGTGTCAGGCAAAAGATTTTCATTTGATACCTCATTAATTTTCTGGGCTTTAGGAAGAATGGTGCATAAAAAAAAAATAGAGAATCAGAAATCTGCAGTGGAAACTCTAGATTTACAATTTATGTCAGTTATCCAACAATACTGTACCTTATCTTTAAATGATATAAACAAATCATTGTCGATTTGAAGTTCAAACATCATGTGAATATGTTTTTCACACGTATATATGAAGCAGTCATTACTTTCCAGATATACAGATGCATCAAATATATTTAAAGCAACAGTTAGAACTGAACATGGAACAACAGACTGGTTCCAAATAGGGAAAGGAGTATGTCAAGGCTGTATATTGTCACCCTGCTTATTTAACTTATATGCAGAGTACACCATGAGAAACGCTTGGCTGGATGAAGCACAAGCTGGAATCAAGACTGCCAGAAGAAATATCAATAACCTCAGATATGCAGATGATACTACCTGTATGGCAGAAAGTGAAGAAGAACTAAAGAGCCTCTTGATGAAAGTGAGAGAGGAGAGTGAAAAAGTTGGCTTAAAGCTCAACATTCAGAAAACGAAGATCATGGCATCTGGTCCCATCACTTCATGGTAAATAGATGGGGAAACAGTGACAGACTTTATGTTTTTGGGCTCCAAAATCACTGCAGATTGTGACTGCAGCCAAGAAATTAAAAGACGCTTACTTCTTGGAAGGAAAGTTATGACCAACCTAGATAGCATATTAAAAAGCAGGGACATTACTTTGCTAACAAAGGTCCATCTAGTCAAAGCTATGGTTTTTCCAGTAGTCATGTATGGATGTGAGAGCTGGACCATAAAGAAAGCTGAGTGCCGAAGAATTGATGCTTTTGAACTGTGGTGTTGGAGAAGACTCTTGAGAGTCCCTTGGACTGCAAGGAGATCCAGCCAGTCCATCCCAAAGGAGATCAGTCCTGAGTGTTCATTGGAAGGACTGATGTTGAAGCTGAAACTCCAATACTTTGGTCACCTGATGTGAAGAGCTGACTAATTGGAAAAGACCCTGATGCTGGGAAAGACTGAGGGCAGCAGGAGAAGGAGATGACAGAGGATGAGATGGTTGGATGGCATCACTGACTCAATGGACATGAGTTTGGATAAACTCTGGGAGTTGGTGATAGACAGGGAGGCCTGGGTGTGCTACAGTTCATGGGGTCACAAAGAGTCAGAAATGACTGAGCAACTGAACTGAACTGAACAAATATATTTAATTTGGAAATACTATTACTATAAATATTATTATAAATACTTACATTTTAAATTATTATTTAGTTTTCTTATAGCATTTGTAGTTTTGAATAAAGCTTAAAATTTTTGGTATTAAATATGGCCAAGGAAAACACATATCATGATAAAAAACATAGTGAAAGACTGAAAGAAATATATCAGATAGAAAAATAGTGGAATAACACTTAAATATATCAATAATCAGATTATATATGATTATGAAAGGTAATTAAAAGATCAGGCTGAATTCTATAAATTTCTTACCAGAAATTCAGCAATATCACAAAGATACAGGAAAATTAAAGTAACAGGAGAGAAAAAAATGTATCATGCAAATACCAACCAAAAGAAAGTTTGTGGAACTACACTGATAGCAGACAAGGTAGTTTTAAAGAAAAACAAATAAAAACTATAAAAATAATGTTAAGTCTCTCCCTTAGGATAAAATGCTCTGTCCCCAAGAATAATATCACTTTAAAATTTATATTCAAAAAAGTAATAGACTATCACAAGATATAAACCAAAGCCTGTCACAACCACAAGAATAGAGAAATCCACAAAGTGTAAGATATAACACATTTAATTCAGTGATTACAAAAGAGATAAATCATCAATAAAGATCTGAAATACAATGAGAATGTACAGTGGGCATTGGCAAAGTGCAAAGTACAATGGGCTTCCCGGGTAGCTCAGTCAGTAAAGAGTCTGACTGCAATACAGGAGACCTGGGTTCAGTCCCTGGGTTGGGAAGATCCCCTGGAGAAGGAAATGGCAACCCATTCCGGTATTCTTGCCTGGAGAATCCCTTGGACAAAGGAGCCTGGCAGGCTGCAGTCTACAGCGTCGCAAGAGTCGGACACGACTGAGTGACTAAGCACTCGGCATGCATATTCAGCACCATGCACAATGAGAGTAATTACTAAATAAGCAAATGGTTGAAGTTATATTCATAAACAAAAAACAGCATTCTGAAATTAATTACATGCAGTTTATAAGATTTATGTTTAATTACTTACCATCAAGATTCTCCTTTTTGATAGCTCTAGGTTTCTGAGTTTGGGATTGCTTAATTGAAAACAAATCCTTCTTCTCAGGATGCAGATTTTCAACTGTTATCATATCGTTTTTCTGGGTTTGAAAAGGATACGCTAGGTAGAAAAAAATACATGTATAATGGAACTTCTGGATATGCCAAATAATCAAATTTTCTTTGCATAGAGCTGAACTAAGAAACATCATGTGAATAATTTTCATGAGTGTGTATGAAAGCAGGTTTTTTTACTGAGTAATTATTAACTGTGCAAATACCAACAAAAAGGTATTATTAGTTTTGCCATTGTTTTCTAATTATCTTAGGTCATTCATTTTCACTTATATAAAATATATGCTGAAATACATATTCATGAACCAAAGGAAAAAAAATCTTCTGATGAGTTTAAAATAATTTAACATTTCCTTTAATTATTATACTTACTATAGTGTCTTTCCTCTGGGGAACCTATATGTTTCTTCACTTGCTTTTGGGGTTTTGAAACTAAATCTTCATCCACAAGCAGAGGATGTTGACCTGACGCTCCATAAAAACCTATATAAAAAGATGCATTTAGTCTACTACATGGAAAAATAGAACGATTGGGCAATATCTAGATTTCAAATTTATAATCAGTGTACAGTAACATTTTCTCTCATTTTTATGAAGTCATAAGTCATTTACTAATATTATAATGCTAGATCTGTCATAAAACTAGATAATGTTGAAGCTATCTCATTATATAAATTTTCATAAGCAGCAAGTATATTTTATTTTATTTTTTGGAGGGGAAATTGCCTTTTTATTTTTATTTTTTTAAATAAATTTATTTATTTTTGTTGGAGGCTAATTACTTTACAATATTGTAGTGGTTTTGCCATACATTGACATAAATCTGCCATGGGTGTACATGTGTTCCCCATCCTGAACATCCCTTTCACCTTCCTCCCCATCCCATTCCTCTGGGTCATCCCAGTGCACCAGTACAAGCACCCTGTCTCATGCATTGAACCTGGACTGGCAATCCATTTCACATATGATAATATGCATGTTTCAATGTCATTCTCCCAAACCATCCCACCCTCGCCCTTTCCCACAGAGTCCTACATCTGTGTCTCTTCTGCTGTCTCACGTATAGGGTTATCGTTACCATCTTTCTAAATTCCATATATATGCGTTAGTATACTGTATTGGTGTTTTCCTTTCTGGCTTACTTCACTCTGTATAATATGTTCCAGTTTCATCCCCCTCATTGAACTGATTTAAATGTATTCTTTTTAATGGCTGAGTATTATTCCATTGTGTATATGTACAAAAACTTTCTTATCCATTCATCTGCTGATGGACATTGAGGATGCTTCCATGTCCAGGCTATTATAAACAGTGTTTCAATGAACATTGGGGTAAACGTATCTCTTTCAATTCCGGTTTCCTCGATGTGTATGTGCAGAAGTGGGATTGCTGGGTCATATGGAGGTTCTATTTCCAGGTTTTTAAGGAATCTCCACATTGTTCTCCATAGCGGCTGTACTAGTTTGCATTCCCACCAAGTGTAAGAGGGTTGCCTTTTCTCCACACCCCTCTCCAGCATTTATTGCCTGTAGACTTTTGGATAGCAGCCACTCTGGTGTGAAATGGTACCTCATTGTGGTTTTGATTTGCATTTCTCTTGATAATGAGTGATGTTGAGTATCTTTGCATGTGTTTGTTAGCCATCTATATGTCTTCTTGGGAGAAATGTCTGTTTAGTTCTTTGGCCCATTTTTTGATTGGGTCATTTATTTTTCTGGAATTGAGCTGCAGGAGTTGCTTGTATATTTTTGAGATTGTCAGTTGCTTCATTTGCTATTATTTTCTCCTATTCTAAAGGCTGTCTTTTCACCTTGCTTGTAGTTTCCTTCATTGTGCAAAAGGTTTTAAGTTTAATTAGGCCCCATTTGTTTATTTTTGCTTTTATGTTCATTACTCTGAGAGGTGGGTCATAGAGGATCCTCTTGTGATTTATGTTGGAGAGTATTTTACCTATGTTTTAATCTAGGAGTTTTATAGTTTCTGGTCTTACATTTATATCTTTAATCCATTTTGAGTTTATTTTTGTATATGGTGTTAGAAAGTGTTCTAGTTTCATTCTTTTACAAGTGGTTGACCAGCTTTCCCAGCACCACTTGTTAAAGAGATTGTCTTTTCTCCATTGTATAATCTTGTCTCCTTTGTCAAAGATAAGGTGTACATAGGTGTGTGGATTTATCTCTGGGCTATTTTGTTCCATTGATCTATATTTCTGTCTTTGTGCCCATACCATACTGTCTTGATGACTGTAGCTTTGTAGTATAGCCTGAAGTCAGGCAGGGTGATTCCTCCAGTTTCATTCTTCTTTCTCAAAATTGCTTTGGGTATTCAAGGTTTTTTTGTATTTCCATACAAATTGTGAAATTATTTGCTCTAATTCTGTGAAAAATACTGTTGGTAGCTTGATAGGGATTGCATTAAATCTATACATTATTTTGGGTAGTATACTCGTTTTCACTATATTGATTCTTCCAATACATGAACATGGTATATTTTCCCATCTATTTGTGTCCTCTTTGATTTCTTTCACCAGTGTTTTATAGTTTTCTATATATAGGCCTTTTGTTTCTTTAGGTAGATATATTCCTAAGTATTTTATTCTGTTTGTTGCAATGGTGAATGGAATTGTTTCCTTAATTTCTCGTTTTGTTTTCTCATTGTTAGTGTATAGGAATGCAAGGGATTTCTGTGTGTTAATTTTATATCCTGCAACTTTACTATATTCATTGATTAGCTCTAATAATTTTCTGGCACAGTCTTTAGGGTTTTCTATGTAGAGGATCGTGTCATCTGCAAACAGTGAGAGTTTTACTTCTTCTTTTCTATCTGGATTCCTTTTATTTCTTTTTCTGCTCTGATTGCTGTGGCAAAAACTTCCAAAACTATGTTGAATAGTAGTGGTGAGAGTGGGCACCCTTGTCTTGTTCCTGACTTTAGGGGAAATGCTTTCAATTTTTCACCGTTGAGGGTAATGTTTGCTGTGGGTTTGTCATATATAGCTTTTATTATGCTGAGGTATGTTCCTTCTATTCCTGCTTTCTGGAGGGTTTTTTTAATCATAAATCGATGTTGAATTTTTTAAAAGGCTTTCTCTGCATCTATTGAGATAATCATATGGTTTCTATATTTCAATTTCTTAATATCGTGGATTACATTAATTGATTTGTGGATATTAAAGAATCCTTGCATTCCTGGGATAAAGCCCACTTAGTTATGATGTATGATCTTTTTAATATGTTGTTGGATTCTGTTTGCTAGAATTTTGTTAAGGATTTTAAAATCTTTGTTCATCAGTGATATTGGCCTGCAGTTTTCTTTTTTTGTGGCATCTTTGTCTGGTTTTGGTGTTAGGGTGATATTGGCCTCATAGAATGAGTTTGGAAGTTTACCTTACTCTGCAATTTTCCAGAAGAGTTTAACTAGGATAGGTGTTAGCTCATCTCTAAATTTTTGGTAGAATTCAGCTGTGAAGCCGCCTGGTCCTGGGGTTTTGTTTGCTGGAAGATTTCTGATTACAGTTTCAATTTCCATGTTCGTGATGGGTCTGTTAAGATTTTCTATTTCTTTTTGGTTCAGTTTTGGAAAGTTGTACTTTACTAACAATTTGTCCATTTCTTCCAAGTTGTCCATTTTATTGGCATATAGTTGCTGATAGTCTCTTATGATCCTTTGCATTTCTGTGTTGTCTGTTGTGATTTCTCCATTTTCATTTCTAATTTTGTTGATTTGATTCTTCTCCCTTTGTTTCTTGATGAGTCTGGCTAATGGTTTTTCAATTTTATTTATCTTCTCAAAGAAGCTTTTAGCTTTGTTGATTTTTGCTATGGCCTCTTTTGCTTCTTTTGCATTTATTTCTGCCCTCATTTTTAAGATTTCTTTCCTTCTATTAACCCTGGGGTTCTTCATTTCTTCCTTTTCTAGTTACTTTAGGTGTAGTTACATTATTTAGTTGATTTTTTTCTTGTTTCTTGAGGTAAGCCTGTATTGCTATGAACCTTCCCCTTAGCACTGCTTTTACAGTGTCCCATAGGTTTTGGGTTGTTGTGTTTTCATTTTCATTCATTTCTATGCATATTTTGATTTATTTTTTTGATTTCTTCTATGATTTGTTGGTTATTCAGTAGCATGTTCTTCAGCCTCCAAATGTTGGAATTTTTAATAGTTTTTCTCCTGTAATTGAGATCTACTCTTACTGCATTGTGGTCAGAAAAGATTCTTGGAATGATTTCAATTTTTGAATTTACCAAGGCTAGATTTATGGCCCAGGATGTGATCTATTCTGGAGAACATTCCATGTGCACTTGAGAAAAAGATGAAATTCATTGTTTGGGGGTGAAATGTCCTATAGATATCAGTTAGGTCTAACTGGTCCATTTTCTCATTAAAAGTTTGTGTTTCCTTGTTAATTTTCTGTTTAGTTGATCTATCTATAGGTGTGAGTGGGTATTAAAGTCTGCCACTATTATTGTGTTATTGTTAACTTCCCCTTTCATACTCCTTAGCATTTGCTTTACATATTGCAGTGCTCCTATGTTAGGTGCATATATATTTATAATTGTTATATCTTCCTCTTGGATTGATCCTTTGATTATTATGTAGTGTCCTTCTTTGTCTCTTTTCACAGTCTTTATCTTAAAGTCTATTTTATCTGATATGAGTATTGCTACTCCTGCTTTCCTTTGGTCTCTATTTGCATGGAATATCTTTTTCCAGCCCTTCACTTTCAGTCTGTATGTGTCTCTTGGTTTGAGGTGGGTCTCTTGTAGACAACATATATAGGGGTCTTGTTTTTGTATCCATTCAGCCAGTCTTTGTCTTTTGGTTTGGGCATTCAACCCATTTACATTTAAGGTAATTATTGATAAGGATGATCCCGTTGCCATTTGCTTTGTTATTTTGGGTTTGTGTTCATACAGCCTTTCTGTGTTTCCTGTCTAGAGAAGATTCTTTGGCATTTGTTGAAGAGCTGGTTTGGTGGTGCTGAATTTTCTCAGCTTTTGCTTGTCTGTAAAGCTTTTGAATTCTCCTTCATATTTGAATGAGATCCTTGCTGGGTACAGTAATCTGGGTTGTAGGTTTTCCTTTTTCATCATTTTAAGTATGTCCTGCCATTCCCTTCTGGCCTGAAGAGTTTCTGTTGAAAGATCAGCTGTTATCCTTATGGGGATCCTCTTGTGTGTTATTTGTTGTTTTTCCATTGCTGCTTTTAATATTTGTTCTTTGTGTTTGATCTTTGTTAATTTGATTAATATGTGTCTTGGGGTGTTTCACCTTGGGTTTATCCTGTGTGGGACTCTCTGGGTTTCTTGGATTTGGGTGACTATTTCCTTCCCCATTTTAGGGAAGTTTTCAACTATTATCTCCTCAAGTATTTTCTGATGGTCTTTCTTTTTGTCTTCTTCTCCTGGGACTCCTATGATTCAAATGTTGGGGCATTTAACATTGTCCCAGAGGTCTCTGAGGTTGTCCTCATTTAATTCTTTTTT